GTGTGTGTGTGTGTGTGTGTGTGTGTGTGTGTGTGTGTGTACCACATTGTCCTGGTGCCTAGTTGAGACCAGAAAAGAGTTACAGGTGTGAGGGTGCTGGGAACCGAACTGGGATCCTCTAGAACAGCTAACTGTCACACTTAGTGAGCTGTCTCTCTAGCCACTGAAGTTACTTTTTTTTTTTTTTTTTAAGATGGTGTTTTTATTTTGGGGTGGCGGCGTTTTTGAGACAGGGTTTCTCTGTGGCTTTGGAGACTGTCCTGGAACTAGCTCTTGTAGACCAGGCTGGTCTCAAACTTACAGAGATCTGCCTCCCTAGTGCTGGGATTAAAGGCATGCGCCACCACCACCCGGCCTGAAGTTACTTTTAATTTTAGTGGAACTTGGTCATCTTATCTATTTTGTTTAGATAATTTTCTTTTTTTTTTTATTTGGTACATTTTGAATTTATCATTCTTTTACTTTTGTGAAGTGGCTGGTTTTTTTCCTGGCATATTTATTTCTCCAGTTGCTGCTTGAACATTGCCACAAGTCATCACACTTGGTAGCACTATAAAGTATCTCAGCTAGCTGTACTGTGGTGAATACAGAACATATTCTAAACATGTGTTTGTGGTTGTCTTCTCTCTGGCCTGACTCTTCCTGCCTCACCTGCAAGGAGCTGCTGTGCCCCAGCATGTGCCCGAGGGCTGTTCTCTCCAGTTCCTCCTCACCTGGTGTCTGGAAATACGGGCAGTTCCTAAAAAGGTATTTCTCTGTCTTCTGGGAGTAACTCTGTGTAAGACTCTTAGATAAGCCTGATGCCTGCCCCTTGGAGCTGTAAAAAACAGGAGTTCAGTTGTATTCCTGATGTTTTGAAAACAGGTCTCCTGCAGTCGCATTCACTTGACATTAGTGTTACAATGTGACAGGCAGCAGCCTGGCAGTCAGGCTGCACAGTGCCCCTCTTCTCCTCCTCATGACAGGACACTTCTTAGGGTGTGTGGGGCTCTCACCCCCTCTTCATAGCCTACTATATTGATGCAGATCTTCTGTGTAGTACAGCTTGGTTATTTTATGGGGGTTTGGCAGCTTCCATTGATGTTTAGAGGGATTTTGAAATAGACTGAGCCACTAGAGGTCAGGATTACATCAAGATGCTTGCAGCTGGGTTTGCTTTTTTTTTCCTCTAAACATTTCTTTGCATTTCTTCTCTAAATTGCTGTGTTGGACTTAAATTGTCTGAACAGACAGACTGGTAATTAAAAACAGGCTTCTATCTTGCGTTATGTAGGCACTGCTGGTCTAGGGGAGCAGACCACTTTAGAAAAAGGCTGAGTCTTAGACACAGTACTCATTTTAATAGAGCTTAAGTTTAAATAATTCAGTTTTGTTTTAACTTTACCAGCTTTTTAAATTTTACAAAATATGTAAATATATTTCCTTTACTATATAAAATATGCTGTATTAAAATATCTGTATGGGTGTGACATAGGAAGTCAAAAGTTTTAAACCCATAGTTTAATTCTGGAATCTAATTCCTACTCCACAGCAAGACATTAAGTCTGTGTTTTCTGGTGCAGAAAGACTGAGGGTGTTTTTAATGGCTACATCAAATTGTTGGTTTGATCACGAACGTGTGGCCTGTTTGTAGATTTTCCATGGGGGAAAAATGTTTAAATAGAAATTTCTATACTGTGATAATCTTTGCTCCTGTGTTTGAAACATTTGTGTAAAATAATTTTTTTACAGTAAAATTGGTATTTTAAGTGATTAATATGTACTTTAAAACCTTGCAGTGGTTTCTGCTGTTTTAGCTTGTTCTCGCTTCCATTTCTTAGATATTTTATTTATTTGTTCATTTGTTTATTTGTTTACTTATTTATTCGGAACAAGGTCTCACCATGTAACTGGCTGGCCTGGAACTCACAGTGCTAACCTAACCACAGAGCCGCTCATAGCTGGCTTCTTCCCTCAGGCATTTTTGCGTGCCCTGGTGGATTGTGCCAGCAGCACTGCTGAAAAGCGGAGGCTGCAAGAGCTATGCAGTAAACAGGGGGCAGCTGATTACAACCGCTTCATCCGAGATGCCAGCGTCTGCCTGCTGGACCTCCTCCTCGCCTTCCCGTCCTGTTGTCCTCCACTCAGCCTCCTGCTTGGTGAGTCGTTCTTTTCCCTGCTCAGTGAGTCATCCTCTCCACAGTGACAGTCCTTTGCTCACTGTCAGGTGACCCTCTTGGTTGTAAAGGAGGCTGGCTGTTCATGTCTCACTGTGGGTTTTATGCGGATACAGTGTGGCCACATCTTATTGGGGGACGGGTGACTGGTTATAGTGACATCTGGGCTCCCTCCTAGAAGCCAGAGTTGCTCTTTTGCATTTTGATTTTTTTTCTTCTTCTATTAGTGGTATTATGGAGGTGGTAGAGGTTAGTGCATGCCAGAATACAGATTAGGAGCCAGAGGGAGTCACTGAGACCTACAAAATGGAAATAATGGAAATTTTCCAGTTTTTTTTTTTTTTTTAAGAAAAATTAACACAGCCAGTACTTAAGATGAACTCTTTACTGAAGTTTATATTCCTACTTTCTTAAGACTAAGCTGTTTTAGAGGAATATTTCAAAGTTTTGCCCAAATAAGCTAAAAGTAGAGCATGGTAGTCACAAAAATTACAAAACTCGTAAGCAGATAATTCAAATATGGGTCTTTAAGTTTATGTTGCTTTTCCAAAAAATCCCTGTGCATCTTAAAGCCACTGGCTTCTGAGGAAGTTGGTTTTATTAAGTGTATAAACACAAGAAGTAAAAGTGCTAGTGTTTTCTAAAATAGCTGACTTTAACATTTTTGAGGCTTTGACTTCATTTCCCATCCGAAACCTCTAGGACATGTTGCTCCTGATGAGCCATAGCCAAATTAAAGCAGTGGTCTCTTGACTATAGGCCACTGTTCTTAGTGTCCTTATCCCTGAGACCAGCATGGGGGAGGGGTCCTGATTTTAGAGTTGAGCAGAGTATCACTGGTGCTATAACATACTTTAAGTGAGAACATGTTACTTTGAATATTCTGAATAAGAAAATTAATTATAGGCCTGGGCTTTCTTTTGTTCCTGGGTTAATTGCCTGTTTTTATTTTTTAGAGCACCTTCCCAAACTCCAGCCTCGACCATACTCATGTGCTAGGTATGAATACTCACTCACATAATAGCCAGTTCCTAAGTCCTGGGACAGCTGCACTTCAGCTCCCTGGTGAGCAGGGCAGTTGCTGCACACTCCTCTGCTTTGTAGAGCACAGTGCTAGGCACAGTGCCAGCTGAGGAGCCCAGGACTTCTGTCTTCTGTGACCTAGGAATTCAGTTTGTACCTGATGATCAGTGTTCCCCTGTTTAAGACAGTAGGCTCAGGTCCCGTCATCCCTAGGCTGCTCAGGGGCCAGCAGGGAGGGTCAGTTATGGAACATGAACGACTGCTGGCCTAGGCTTTCCACCCCTGCCACTACAGCAGGTGTGCTTGTGGGAGGGATTTCACCCTCCATTTCTTACAGACTACAGTGTGGATAAGGTTGGTGGACATGTCTCCCGGGGATTCTGAACTCCGTGGTTTCTTCACTTTGAAATCTGTCAGCTTTATAAATAATACCCAGTGTATCTGTCCCTTGTCATTTGCCTGGTAATAAAATCAATCTGGTAAATACCAAGTGAGGACTCTAGAAGGAAGAGCCTTGGGACATGTCACTTTCTACAATCCTTACTGAAATGTTGAAGACGAGTAGATAGAACTGCAGTCCTTCCTGAAAGTGGGGAGGCAAGGGTTAAGATGGCTCTAGCCTAGAGCAGTGGTAAGGTGAATTGATGCCCCTATCTCCCAGCACAGTAAGACAGCATGTCCATCCCTGATGGAATCATCAGAACTTGTCTGTCTTTGCAGCTCGAGCTTACTCCATCCAGACAAGCTTCATTTTGTGTTTAACATCATAGAATGTCCATCTAACACCACAGTGGCCACGCTGCGGAAGGGGGTGTGCACAGGCTGGTTGGCCACATTGGTTGCCCCGTTTCTTCAGCCAAACACAGAAGCTTTGCACGCAGGCAGTCCTGATGCCCTGGCTCCTAAGGTACTAGGATGGTGTGACCTCACGTCGGCTAGAGCTCGGTTTTCTCCTTACGGGAACACTGTGCACATCTTAAACGTGCAGGCATTTGTCGGTCTGTTGTTGCTCATCTTATTTGTAGAAAAGAGTGCATTGACTACAGGGGACAGTGGTGACTCCTATTCCTGCATCTCAACTGGATAGTTGTAACATCTTACTGTGTCTGTCATTTTAAAACTTTTTTTTTTTTTAAATGCTTTGCAGCATTGTCCTTTGACCATTTCTTGCATGTATCTTGATCATAGCCACTCCCCCACCCACCCCCACTCCAGCTTCCCCCAGGACACCCCCAATCACAACTCCATCCCAGCTCATGTCCTCATTATTATTCATTCATTCATTCGTTTGTTCATTTATACTAAGCTCAGTTAGTGCTGTCCAATGCTCATGAGTGTGGAGCCGTCCACTGGGCATGGGGACACTCTGGTGACCACACACTCAGAGGAAAGTAACTCTCCCCCGGCAGCCGGCAGCTCCCAACAGTCCCTACCTTTGTGGGTGCTTGTGTTTTACACTTCTTAGCCTGCCTTCCTAGTCAATTATTCCTTGGCTTATGCTTTTAACTCACATGTAAGCAGCGCCAAGTGAAGACACTTTAAGTATGAGTAGAAAACTTTTCCTTCTTCCTCTGTAGTAGGAGATGAGTTCATGGCTTCAGTAGGGTCTGATGCTGCCATGTAGTTTAGTGATGCTTCTCTGAGAGGAATTAACACGCACACATCCTCACAATCTCAGTCGTGTGCTGTCACGTTCTTGCCTAGGTTTTCTTTTACACTCACCAAAGCTGGTTTGATATTCCAGATATCCATCTCTCCTCGAGCAACACATTCTTTCCACTTACCAGAAGACCCTTCGGCCCCCATCATAATGGTGGGTCCAGGAACTGGCGTAGCCCCCTTCATTGGCTTCCTCCAGCACAGGTGTGTGTTCACTGCGGCTGGTGGGGAATGTGTTCCTTGTCATCAGGGGTAGAAACAGATCATATGATTGGTTCTTCAGTCATTTTAGAATAATTGGGTGTTGCTTGTAAAGTTCTTTAAAAAGTTTTTACCTAATATCAGGTGCTGTAGTTATTTGTCACTATGGGGAAGGTGTTTTTCCATCTGGAGCTTCCCTTTTACGGTGGCACTTCTAGTTGTCACTCTGTTCAGTTGTGCTGTGGATTATTGAATATGTACTTGGAGATGACTTTAAAGCACACCTCTCTTCTGTGGTGGGTGTGGCTGTTCCCTCTCCTAAGCTGGGTCAGGTTAGTAATCACAGATACACTTGTACCAGGTGTCTACACCTAGCTCCAGACACAGGAACTTTGAGAAGAGTGGCCTAGTGACTATACTAGAAAGAGTAACGTGATAGAGTAGATGAATCTGGCTTCTCTCGTGTTCCTCACGCACTGCTCTCTGGGCCCGACCATCACCACTTGTAGTGACAGGGAGACTGTGATGTCATGACCAGCTGTGAAGCTCCAGCCCATCGACCATCCATTGGCTCCTCTGTTTGGGCTAATGCTAAGACAGCACAATGCTGAAGTGTGTGGTGAAGCAAATCACACAGTTGGTGGCCAGGAACCAGAGAGGACATGACAAGGGCCCCGTGACCTCCTTTGGGGCCACATCCCTGGTTAACTAGAGGCTATCCAATATGCTTTACCTCTCAGACATGTTGTCATCTACCTGGTCCCCTCTCAGGACTTTTGAGAGAGAGCCACTATCTAAAGGAGGGGTGGTGTGTAATTCAGATACAACATCTACTTAGTGTGAACAAGAGCCCAGGGTCAGTCCATTGCACTGTGGCGTAAAAACCCAGATATAATACCCAAACATAGCAAATGCTGAGACAGTATAAAGATGGCTTTTACAGACCGGTTTGCTGGTGACATTTCCTGATGAAAGATGTGTCTTCATGTGCTTATTATATCCACATTTCCTTTTCCTCAGAGAGAAACTCCAAGAACAACACCCACATGGAAATTTTGGAGCCATGTGGCTGTTTTTTGGCTGCAGACATAAGGACAGAGACTATTTGTTCAGGTAGAGTACGTCTGTTGTAACTGGACCGACTTTGTCATCCTTAAACCACCACCTTCCCATGACCATGCTGAATTACGTTGCAGAGAGGAGCTCAGGCGTTTCCTCAAGATTGGGATTTTGACTCATCTGAAGGTCTCTTTCTCAAGAGATGTCCCAGCGGAGGGGGAGGAGGCCCCAGCAAAGTATGTGCAAGACAACCTGCAGCGTCACAGCCAGCAGGTGGCCAGGGTCCTCCTCCAGGAGAACGGCTACATATACGTGTGTGGGTATGTGGCAGATGGGAAAACGCAGTTGCTGCTGTTGTGGGTGGATTGAGGGGCCACTAAGTAGAGGAAGAGTCCTTGAATTTTCACATACATCACACATAAGCACACAGTGAGGAATTCCAGCATACACTTAGTAGCCAGAGTTTCTTTTCAGGGAAGCAGTAGTGAATGCTGGCTCTTGCATTGGAGAATGCTTTACTTTGGGTACATGCTTTTTGGTTTTTTGTTTTTTTTTTTTTTTTTTTTTTTGAGACAGGGTTTCTCTGTGGCTTTGGAGGCTGTAGACCAGGGTGGTCTCGAACTCACAGAGATCCACCTGCCTCTGCCTTCCGAGTGCTGGGATTATAGGCATGTGCCACCAACGCCCAGCTACTTTGGGTACATGTTTTTAACATCTGAAAATTCATGCTGAAACCTTAATCACACTAGTTGGTGGTGGATCACACCTTTAATCCCAGCTTTCAAGAGGCAGAGGCAGGAGGATTTCTTTGACTTCAAGGCCAGCCTGGTCTACAAGAGCTAGTTCCAGGACAGCTAGGGTGGTAACACAGAGAACCCCTGTCTCAAAAAACCAAACCAAACAAACAAACAAAAAAAAAAAAACTTTAATTACTCAAAGTGTCAACATGGATTTTGTTATGTAGAAAGAATTTGTGATTTGTTGCACTAAGCCATCAAGAAGAAAGTAGGGTTTGACTGAAAATGTACATCTGATTAGAATCCTTTTTCTCCAGGGCAGTTTGTAGTGGTCTAGTAGGCAGAAGACCAGGGCCACTCTTAGTAAGTTTTATGTATATTCTATGACAGTATCTGTCACAGAAACTCAAAGGTACCATGTAGAAAATACAAATTTTAAAAACTTGACTCTAAAACTTTCAACTAGATAACAGGAATTTTGAAATACGAAATTTTACTTTTATCCTAAATATTCTGAGCATTTACTGTTTTCGGTCAGCCAAGCTTTTCTCTGGCCTTTTAACTGTGATGCTGAAGATGAAATGGTGGCTTTTCTGGGCTGTTTTCGGCTGTCTGGGTGACCCCATGACTCCTGGCTCTCAGCTGAAGAGCACTGCAGAGTCCACACACTGTGTGGGTTTATGTTTCTCTTTAGCTTTTGTTGAAGTTCTTGATCTTGGTGTTTGTAGAGGGTGTGTTGGCCACACTGAGACTGAAGTGTTAACCCTCTAAATAGCAGAGGCAGCTGATTACAGATGTACCACTAACTGGTCTGTGATATCTCCAGGCTCCTAAATCCTCTCCTGCCTCTCCTGCCACAGCCCCTTCCAGTCACTGAGTTTTAAGGTTCCTAGAGAGCACTAGTGGCTTCAGAGATGAAGGCTCAGCGTCATCTCACCAGTCACAAGTGGAGTAGGCAGGAGGGAACAGAGACACTGAGGGATGAGGAACCTGTCCAAAGCCAGTTGGCAGTTCAAGTGAGGTAAAGGAGAGAGGTCAGGCCATGGGGATCTATGCTCTGCACTGGTTGAGACAAAGATGAGGAATGAGAGATGCCACATTTTTCCTGCCAGGGGTAAACTGACAGGACAGGCTGTATTCTAGACATCTACGCCCTATCTTAATTTCTTCGTTCAAACATTGGAGCACCTGCTTAGTGCTTTGCAATGTTCAGGCATTGGGAGATACCAGATGTGAGGTCTACTCCCTGACCTCAGCGGCCATTGTGGGAGAGCCCTGGAACGGGGCTTAGCATAGAGTTAACAAGGGACGATGACACACAAGGTGGTGCCTCCCCTGCCTTCAAACGCTAAAACCTGTTCTCAATGAAGGGTCTGTCACTTCACATGCAAGAAGGCTTGGGAGGATGAGAGTGTGCAGGTCTGCTGTGCCCTCCAGGAGAGGCAATGGGTCCGGCAGCTGAGCTTCCCTCCCAGGCCTCTTCTAGCAGGGATGGTAAGCCATGGAACCTTGTGGTCAGCTCTACTTAGAGTGGGCCCCATGGATGAAGCTGGATGTCTGTGAAAATATTCTGAGAAATGAGAAAAACAAAGATAGGGTCAGAGGGATCTGGGTATGCCATAGTTAATAAAGAGGGTTTGGTTTTTTATAAATGTCTTCTTTAGTAAAGCTATTTTGTTTTCTAGAGATGCCAAGAATATGGCTAAAGATGTGAACGACGCCCTTGTAGACATCATAAGCAGAGAGGCTGGAGTTAACACACTAGAAGCCATGAAAACACTGGCCACGTTGAAACAAGAGAGACGATACCTTCAGGACATTTGGTCATAAACTTAAAACGCCAAAGGACAGCTTTACCAAAGCTGAGGTTAAAATTGTTTGTACATTTCTCAGAGAAGGTTGGGTGTGGAACAGACCACTTACAGGTCTGGTGCAGTCACATAGTTGGTCCTCCACTTCTCATCTGTGGCCCCACCCAGCGCTGCACTGTGTGGAGGTGGAGAGACAGCTCTCATTGCACGTGCACCGTCCCCTCCCTCCCTCGCCCCACCCAGAGGACAGGTAGTCTATGAATTGCCTGAGCCTGTACACATCATGGAAAACTTGTGGGCATGTTACCTTTCTATGAAATATACATGAAGAATATTTATACCAGTAATATTTAAATTAATGGGTGTAAAGCATACTTTCTGGATGTTTACATAATTATTTGATTATGGTTTATTATCAAAATTATATTTCTGATAAAATATTTTAATTTTGAAATAATCCTTATAAGGGTTTTATACTACTAGAAATATATTTTGAGATATATTTGAAATTCTACTCTGCCTTTTTCATCATGATTATTTGCAAAATGTCACAATCTGTAGCTTGGGGGCATTTGCATCCCCCATACAGACACGTGTGCATGTCAGTCATGTTACACCCTGTCCTCATGGACTCCTTTCATCTCTGCTCCTCACAAACAGAGTTGGCTTCTTCCCCAAACTGACTTTATTTCTGTGAACCACTCAGATTGTATCCTAGCCTTAAAATACTCCAGCTAGATTTTGGTTCTAAGTCCTCTGAAAGTTATGGAAATAAAGTATGTTAAAGGTTCTGTACGAGTTATGCATGTTGTTGCTAGGATAGAGACTTGAGGAGGGGTTCTCAGCTTACAGCTCTGGTGTGCAGTGCCCGGTGATAGGGAGGTCAGGGTGGCAGAAGCCAGAGGCAGTACTCATGTCACGACGTGCCCACAGTCAAGGAGAAGACTGACTGCCTAGCTAGCTTTCTCCTTTTCTACTTTCTGGAACCCCACCCAAGGCATGGGTCTGCCAACCTTTAGTTGTGTCTTTCCACCACTGCCCAATCCCATGCCCAGAGATGTGTCTCCAAGTGATTCTAGATCCTGTCAACTGACTCAGTGTAACTCTCAGGTATAATAACTTTCTCCAACCAGTGTATTGTCTCATTTAATAGTTCAACATTTAAATCCATACCTGGTAAAGTGCTCCTCGGTCATTGTGAGAATTAAAGATCTGAGAATGTAATATGCTAATCTCAACCTTGGTGAGGATTTGTAGCATTTGTTCTACTTTTCTCATCTTACGTAGTGTATTTTGACTATGGCGTATGTTATGTGCAATAAATAACATAGGCGTTAGGAAGCTAAACCACCAACACTCCTATGTACCCTGTCACATTTGGGCGTTGTATACATCAGCCATAGTAGACTGAGACAAGACAGAGAAAGGTAAAAAATACTGTCTCAGTTAATGATAAGATGCCTGTGCTATATAGTGCATGACAGCAAACTGACAGATTCAAAACACAAAACTGAGGAACAGCTCCTTGTAGTTGCTGTTGAATAAAGCATATCTATTTCTCTGCACAGGATACCCAGGAGTAGGATCACTTGCGGTCCCATAATGTTACTTTTAATTTGCTTCTCCGGTATTAATGATAATATTTTAAAGGTTCAGTTATAAAAATGATCACCCATGATCTGATTTTAACCAGATCTAATCAAAACCTGAGCAAGTAAATATGGTGGCATGATGAATACCCTGGCACACACCTTGATAGCCTTGTAAGCCCAAGTACTGAGGTCTGGTCTATTTTGCTTTCTCTCCCTCTTTTAAGCCACAGTCAGCCTCACTCAGGTGGTAGTTTGCCTCATGGATGTCAGAGTGAGTTATTTTCAACAGTGGTGAAAGGAGATCATCTAAACATATTTGTAGTATGTGGATGACTGGGTGAGCCTCCCCTGTTTGGAAATTGGCATCAACACAAAGCTAATGAAAGCACTGTTACTTAAATGGACATAAATCAGCTCTCCTCTGCTTTATGTTTTATATAATGCTCGCATTCTTCTTCTTAAATGTGGTTGGTTGACATTGCATGGAAACCCAAATTCTGCTTTTGACACCTATTAAATTTTCATGACTAGTGGGTTTAATATAAGTTTTCTTAAGTTAGGGCCGTTTCCATCTTTAAAGTGTTCTTTTAGTGTATGAGAATGTTAAGCTAGAGTTGGCTGAAGTAGATGGATGCATCTACCTGTGTCGAATCACGTGTCTCTTTCAGCATTTATTTATTACATTATTACATTGGGGTACCAGGATGTGTGCCCCACTATTCTCAGCAACGTCACAGGTAGAGAAGAGGAAGCTCGAATCGGAGCTGGAGGTCCCCAGGGGCTGCCCAGTTTATCTTACTTCCTCCAAAGAACATGGGGGTGTTGCTGGCACAGTGTCAGAAACTCTTTAAGGATCCACTGGAACTCTGAGATACCAGTTATCACTCTTACTGTAAGACTTACAAAGTGACCATCTTCCCCAAGACCATAGTGGCAACTGGATCAGCCAACTTCAGAGTTGGGTTGTTGGGCTTCAAGATCTTCATCTTTTATGAAAAAAAAAATAATTTTGTTACAAGATTTCACTCACAAATGTGGTATGTAAGTGTGCTAATTTATGCACATTTGGTAAAGAGTACCTGGCTGACTCATCTTGCCTAATTTTCACCAAGAAGGTTGATGCCTTCACCTAGAAGGTTGCAGTCTTAAAACCAGCCTTACAAGTTCACCATACAGGCCTGTGGAATTTTAAAACCTGAATGTCCTGGAATCAATGGATTGTATAAGGATTAAGATCTTCACCATATTGTGCCTCACCACCTATCAAAATGGCATTGCTCTCCAGTTTGGTACATATTTTGTAAGGTCTACCAGTACCGTTTGTAATCCTACACCTATAGGCTCTACACACAACGAGGTGGTCTGTGATTCTTAGGCTGTTTCAATGCTTTAAATGAATGAAATTTTAGAATCTGGAAATCTGCCTTAAAAGAGTGTGAATTAGATAAGGTCAGGCACAGTAACTTAATTATTCAGATATTAAATAATTTACAAAGTATTCAATAATACTGTAGGATTAATTCTGGTGACTTTTTTTTAAAAGTTAAACTACAAGCTTTATTTCACTTTTATGTTTCCACACTAACATTTTTTCAGATTTAGCATTTTTTCCTAACTTGCTAATAAAACATTTTCAATTAAATGTGCTTGAGGAGAGGTGACAGGTCTTGCTGTGTGGTCACTGAACCTGAGCAGACAGAGATCAGTTCTGGCAAATATGTGGAAAGTGTCCATTAAAGAAAGTAAAATATAGTTCATTGAGGTGCAGCACAAATTTGCCCTCTTCTACAATCTGCTAGTGATTTTTATCATTTTAAAATTTTGCTTTTTAGCTAACATCTTTCTTCAGTAGACATTGTGATCACCCTCTGTAACCCAATGCACTTGCTGGAAGTGGAATGCATGGCCTAGTATATGCCTTGTTAGTAAGGAAGAGCCATTAACTAACACATTGTGTCCTTCTCACCCAACAATTATCAATACATATATCTAGGTATGTCAAGCTACAAAGGCTGAAGGTATGTGGGACCATCCCAGGAGCTTCCACTCTCCTGGGGCTTGAACTCAGATACTCACCAAAGGTAGACTCTTCAGTGAAAGGCCTGGACTGGGTGTCTATGAGGCATCAGGTTAAGGACTCTGTGACACAGAAAAAGGTGAAAATCATGAGGGTGACATGACCACACACAGACCCATCACAGAAGGAGAGGCTCAAAACATTCAAGGGAAGAACAAAGGAATTTTCAGAGAGACAGAAGGTGTCAAACTCCATCTAGGAAATGGGTAAAGATTCCTTTTCTCTGGTTGTAGTTACTGTGGGAATGCCTGGAATCCTGGTAGAGTGAATAGCCTTCAGAAAGAGGCTGGGACAAGTGAGAAGGAACCCAAGGTAGCTTTGCATGAGAGTAAGGGTAACCTTGACACAGCATTTGAAGAGCACTTTATAGTGGATGCAAGTGCTTCCTTTGCTTTTAGAATTGAGCCCTGTGGGCAGTGATGTGGAAAACAACAGCCATGTAGGGCAACACTCACTTTGAACTTCACATCTGAGAACAGTTTGGGAAGTGCATTGGGTTACACATGACTGCAAACCCCCAAGGGCCCCTCACACTGTCCACACTGAAAGCCTTTATTCTCTCTGTGGTCCTGAAAAGTTGCCTGGTGTGGGAGGATTTATTATGGGTCTAAAAGGACAGGTTGGAGGTGGGACCTATTAGGTTGGATCACTTACAGATTGATGAGAGTGTTGGATAATGGGCTGAAATAAATACTGCTTGAAATCCACAGGGGACATTGCCTATAGCAGCTTTCTGGTGAGACATTCATACTGTGTGTGGCTATAAAATGCTGGACTCACACACTTAGCACAGATCTTTAGAGACTTCATGAGATCTAATAGCTAGGGAAGCCAAGACCCCATGGTTTGACCCAAAGTTCATACTTTTCTACATCTGTGTTTTAAGTGTTTTAAGATTCACCATTGATTCCCAGAGTTTCCCACCTGTAATAAACTCTATGTCTTTTGTTCATTAGCATATGGATTATGCAAATTTTAATATTGTAGACAGAGAAAACACTATGTACCAGATGGCCACTGTGACAGTAAAAATAGTGTGATACTTTCAAAAAGACAAGTTCTAGTAAGGTGGCTGCACCACCGGGTTTTAGAAGGTTCCTTGGTAACTGTGTGTTGTCTGGAAGCTCCAGTAACCTGCTCACATCCTTTGTCACAAGATTGTGTCATGTGCCACTAGCCAAGGGAAAAGTCAATGCTCAGCATCAGAAATACAACTTCTGCTTCTCTGCTATACCACTGTAAAACTTAGGATTATTATACAGACAGAACCATGGTATGTCAAGATTGTTGGACTATGTTGGCCATTTCATATATGACATGGTGGTCTCCAGATGTGATGTGGGATGTCCTTCTGTATATATGTTTCTCTTATTGGTTCATAAATAAAACACTGTTTGGCCAATAAGGCAGGAAGATAGGCGGGATGAGAATTCTGGGAAAGGTAGCAGAGGAAGACCACAGAAAAAGTCACCATGTAAGAATGGGGAAGAAAGGACACACCAGGAGTTCTCTGGTAAGATAAGACCACGTGGAAATACATGGATTAATAGAAATTGGCTAGTAATTAAGACAGAGCTAGCCAATAAGCTCTAGTCATCAGCCAACAGTTTTATAACTAATATAGCATCCATGTGTTCATTTGGGGCTAAAGCAGCTGTGGGACCAACCTGGCAGGAAAGAAACTCCAGCAACACAGATGTAGATGTGAACCATAGCTAGTAGTGTGAACTATGCTAGTGCATTGGCCCCAGGATGATGCTCCACTTTTAGCCTGACCTTTATGGCTAGGCAGCATCTTCAAGCTCCCATTAAGATCTGAGTTCTCAAAAGCAACTGTATAAGTAAAGTATAAAACAGGAAAAAAAAAAACAGCACCTGTAGGTGATTCATCTCAATCATAAGGCAAGCTGCTAACATGTTGAGTCAGCAGACACAAACTCTAGCCAGGGCTTTTTAAGGAAAAGCCTTTGTCCCTCCATATCTTTGCTCTTCAGCCAGTCCCAGGATGCAGAAGAGGAGAGATGGGGGTAACATTTCCCCTCAAATAACTACTTCTAAGATGTTTCTGATCATTTCTCCTCCTTATTTTATAAATGGCTTCCTCTTCTATTGCCTGAGACTGATAAGCTGGGGACAGTCCTGAGTCTCAAGCATCATGTACTCATGTTGTACAGGTGATGTTAATTAACAGATGTCTGGCTAGTACCTGTTTCAGCTATCCTAGGAGCACAATGGCACTGAAGCAGATGTGAGCATCCCCCCTACACGCCCGTGGCAGCTAGTGCCAAATCTCCAGTTCTCCAGGCTGACACAGTTACATGAAATTTGAAATTTACTTCAATCTGAGATGGTTTCTAGAACAGTGGGTGGCAGAGGCCACATTCTGTGATTCAAATACATGATGAATTGGGCTTTTCGGTCCATGCCCTCCAAGTACTGTGAAAGTGTTTACCAATGTTGCAGACATGCCTTTGGCAACATGGTTCCTCCTGGTTTATTGTCTCTAAGCTACAATGTGGGAGTCCTTCAAGGGCCCAGAAAGAACAACAGGAGAA